TAAAGGTTATTCCAGAGAAATGATTAAAAATAAAATCGTAGAAGTGGGAACAACGATGAGGAGTAATTTTCTTGTTGATAAACCCAAGACGGAAGATAAAAAGGGATCACACGGCGATTATTCTGGATTTCACCACTAATTATAAACAGATAGAGAGTGTATTCAAACGTTATTGGCCCATTCTAATTACCGACCCTATTTTTTCTAAACTATTACCGGCTACACCTAAATTCATATATAGGAAGGCCCCTTCTCTCAGGTCCAAATTGGTTCGTAGTGTACTGAACCCCCTATAAAAAGTCCTAAGGCTACGTTTCTTGATCATAAAGGGTTTTTCCCGTGTAAGAACTGCTACACCTGTAGAGCCACCAGGGGTTCTAATACTAGATTGAGTTCTTTTTCAGCCACTAGTAATGGTAGGTCCTTTCAAATTAAGGACTTCATATCGTGTAGAACGGAGGGGGTTGTGTATGTTCTCCAATGTGGATGTGGCTTACAATACGTTGGAAGGACAAAAAGACCTTTATGGGTCCGGTTGAGAGAACATGTCCAGAAGATAAAAAAGGGCTTTCCAAAACACTGTCTATCTAATCATTTCCGGCTTTATCATAATCAGGACCCTCTGGTCTTAAATTCTGGGGAGTTGAGAAATATAAAAAAACACTGGAGAGGGTCCCATAAAGTGAGATCTTTAAGCCAGATCGAATCAAAATATATTTTCCTTATGGATACATTTACTCCGATGGGACTCAATATTGAGTTCGACTTGAACTGTTTTATCAGCGATCGATAACTTTTCCCATGAATATATTATGTGTGTTTAGTACTCGATATATAGAGTCTATGCAGGATTACAAAGGAGCGTTTTTTCAGTATTTTATTTAATATATATATGTTTTATATATATATATTTTTTATATTTGATAGTGTATCTTATATGGGGCATTATTGATTATGCTCGTTTTTTATTCATTTTTACTCATTTTTATTAAATTTAATTATGCGTTTTTCTTTTTTCTTTATTCATACACATTTTTCACATATCAGTCCCTCTATGTGTTGTGTTTGGAGAGACATTGATGTGTAGTGCGTTTTTTATGGTGTATGGCTTCAATGGGTTTGCCAGACCTAATTGTTTAAGGTTGGTCTAACAGACTTCATTTATATGGCCGCCGGGGTTCCTGTTTGGCATGTCGGACTATGAGAATATGGCCGCGATCGCACCGCCCATTGTGACCCTGGTGGGTGCGGTTTTCGGCCTTTATAAGGAAGTGCTGTCGGCCTATCACGCTTTGTCCTGATGAAGTCACGAGGTACGTGACGCAACGCGTCGACGGCAATAGCGTGGTGACGCATTTCCGGCGGGACGCCATCTTGGTGCACCTTTTTGATCCTGCTTACACCCAGCATTGCATCTCCATACAAGCCGTTTTTATGTAAGTGGATTACCTTCCTTTCTTTGTTTGCTGCTGTTTTATACTCAAATAAAGCGGTAATACACTATGAGGATTGTGTTTATCTCCTCATTTATGGGCATATGAGCGGCTGTGATATCGGAGGAGAGTGCCTTCTATGCATCCACTGGCTTGGAGGAAATCTGTTCCTGTTCATTCATTCATCTTAAGAGTTCTTATTGGAGGATTTCGTGGTGATCTACATTACGCTTTATGGCCCTGTAGGGTCGTGGAGTGGAGGTGAGAGGCCACTGCAGCAAGACTGCCCGGGGTCACCTTTTTTGGAGTGTGCTGTGATTCACTTACACCCCTGTATGAACTATGGACACCTTAGCCTGCACCTAAACCACTTATCACCGTTATTAGTCTCATAAGGGCTATTGTCTTTTGTATCCCCAGGCGATCCTGGGTCATGTTATTATTATCTGGTCTCATTATATTTTGTCTTTAGTCTTTTTAGCGCTGCATCAACTTTATATTCTATTCATTACCCTTATTTGGTGCGGGATAGATGCTGGCTGCTTCTTAGTTTTTATTCACCATTTACCATTAGAGCGCAGGAGGATTTTATGTGATTCATGCAACACTGTACCCATATGAATTTTTTTAGCATTTTTTTGAGGCAGATAAAGCTTTATTTTAGTGGTATTTATTCACCGCTGGGATTTTTATTTTTTTTTGCTATGTAAATTAAAAAGTCCAAAAATTTTGAAAAGTGTTTTTCTTATAAAATTTTGCAAATAAATAATATTTCATCCTAAATCTTGGCCAAAATTGATTCCGTTATCTTTTTAGTAAAATAAAAAAAAAACCAAATTAGTTCATAACCAAAATTATAATTTTTAAACATTTTTTTTTACTTTTTTTATATTATTATTTGTTTTTTGTTTTTTTTTTACATACTGTCACCCTAGCAGTAGTATCACCATGGTAACACTGTACTACTTGTGGGGGGGTGATGAAGATTTTTTTTTTTTTTATACCCATAAAGGCTGTAAAAGCAATGATTTCTCCTTCTCACTGTCTGCATTCTTGCAGCCATTGAGAACTACTGAGTGAGCTGTGATTGGTCACAGCTTGTCACATGGCACAAGGCTGTTGTGAATGGCCCTGTACCATGTGACCTCTGTGATCATTCACAGATTTCACAGCAATGATGTCAGAAGTGACATCCTTCTTACTACTCTGCATGTGATCACTGATTGGCCAATCAGTGATCACATGATCAGGACCTCACACAGAGGTCCTGTCCAACGATCAGTGTTCCACTGTGTCCGGAGGACACAGCGGGCACTGGATCACGGTGCTGCGCGCTCCCAGGGAGCTCGCACAAGCAGGGGGCGGGGAGGCCGTTTATAAATGGCAGCCCGACCCTGCAGTGCCACCGTCCGGCCGTTTATATACATGGACCGGACGGGAGGTGGTTAAGTCCACGATGTGGACCAGACCAATATCACATTCACCAGACAATGCGAGGAACAGTCCTCTTTCATGGTTCTCACCTCTCCACCTGCAGGGGCCCCGGAGACTTCCCCGTGTCCGACAACACCCAGTTCAGCCCGCTGATCCACATGTTCACCTCCTCCTCGCTGAACGCTGCCGGGAGAACACAGAGAAGGTGAATGAGCAGAGAATACGGGATACCAGAGCCAGAGAGATTGCAAGGTCATTCAATGCTGCCAGTAGATGGCAGTGTCACTGCTCGGGGGGGGGGGGTTAAATCACAGGACCGGCCGCACAGATATTACATACACAATATTGAAGCAAACATTTAGCCTAGCGGCTACTTTGTAGCATCTGCTGTATATATTTTTTGGAGATTTCCCCGGCAATCATTCCCTACCTGGAAGTTTCGGGGTTCCCATCCACTCCCCCCTAACACAGGTTCACTATAAATTGCATCAAATGTCTTTTTCCTTTTTGGATGGAGTAACACCCCCTGCCAGTCATATTGGAGAGATTTCCCTTCACTTCCCATCCTGAAGACACAACAGGAAGTTCTTCCAAAGTCGGGCATACAGTCAGCGGCGGTACAAGGTCACCTAGAGCCCAGGGCGAGCATGCCAAATTGTGCCCCCCCCCCCCACCACCAAGATGTACGAGCATTATGTGTCAGCAGCAAAAATCCCCTCCCCCCCCAACAAAAAAAAATCGAGCTCCAATCTGCATGCTTACCCCCTAAGCATAAATTTCCCTCCTCCCAGTACAAATCCACCCCCTGGTGAAAACCCTCCTCCTCCCAGTGCAAATCCACCCCCCTGGTGAAATCCCTCCTCCTCCCAGTGCAAATCCACCCCCCTGGTGAAATCCCTCCTCCCAGTGCAAATCCACCCCCCTGGTGAAATCCCTCCTCCCAGTACAAATCCACCCCCCTGGTGAAATCCCCGCTCCTCCCAGTACAAATCCACCCCCTGGTGAAAACCCTCCTCCTCCCAGTGCAAATCCACCCCCCTGGTGAAATCCCTCCCTCCCAGTACAAATCCACCCCCCTGGTGAAATCCCCGCTCCTCCCAGTACAAATCCACCCCCCTGGTGAAAACCCTCCTCCTCCCAGTGCACTTCCACCCCCCTGGTGAAATCCCCGCTCCTCCCAGTACAAATCCACCCCCCTGGTGAAATCCCTCCTCCCAGTACAAATCCACCCACCTGGTGAAAACCGTCCTCCTCCCAGTACAAATCCCCCCCCCCGGTGAAATCCCTCCTCCCAGTACAAATCCACCCCCCTGGTGAAATCCCCGCTCCCCCCCAGTACAAATCTGCCCCCTGGTGAAATCTCCCCTCCTCCCAGTACAAATCCGCCCCCCTGGTGAAAACCCTCCTCCTCCCAGTACAAATCCACCCCCCTGGTGAAATCCCTCCTCCCGGTACAAATCCACCCCCCTGGTGAAAACTGTCCTCCTCCCAGTACAAATCCGCCCCCCTGGTGAAATTCCCACTCCTCCCAGTACAAATCCGCCCCCTTGTGAAAACCCTCCTCCTCCCACCCAGTACAAATCCGTCCTCTGGTGAAATCCCTCCTCCCAGTACAAATCCGCCCCCTGGTGAAAACCCTCCTCCTCCCAGTACAAATCCGCCCCCTGGTGAAATCCCTCCTCCCAGTACAAATCCGCCCCCTGGTGAAATCCCCGCTCCCCCCAGTACAAATCTGCGCCCTGGTGAAATCTCCCCTCCTCCCAGTACAAATCCGCCCCCCTGGTGAAATCCCCCCTCCCCCCCCAGTACTAATCTGCGCCCTGGTGAAATCCCCCCTCCTCCCAGTACAAATCAGCCCCCTGGTGAAATCCCCCCTCCCCCCCAGTACAAATCCGCCCCCTGGTGAAATCCCCACTCCTCCCAGTACAAATCTGCCCCCCTGGTGAAATCCCCCCTCCTCCCAGTAAAATTGCATCATAACCACCTGATTTTACCGCCCCGGCTGCTCCTGTAAAGGACCCCCGGGAACATTCAGCGATCCATGGGTCATCCTGGGTCCCAAGCCCTTCCCCATAGAAGCCGTGATTTCCATGCGCTGCGCTGATAACGGCCAACAAGCATGAAACAGTTGTTTGCAGTTGTGACCAGGGGCGGACTGACCATTGGGGAACTCAGGCACTGCCCGAGGGCCCAGGATCAGTAAAGGGCCCCATGAGATGCCCCTGGTACCTTTCACAGGCTTTTTTTGGGTGTGGTTTGAGTGTGGGTGAGGACACAGGGGCCCCATGATCCCGTATTGCCCGGGGGCCCATGAGTTGTCAGTCCGCCCCTGGTTGGTAATAAATGGGAGGTTTGATCGCTCCTCACCAGGACCCGTGTGGTCGCCACAAATAGAATTTCTATTTCCCGTCACAGCCGGTGCTGATGATCCGATAACCTGGGATGAGCTCGGAGCGGTGAAGGCAGCGCCCACACTGCGACCACAGCTCACCCGATATAACTCCATGTGGTCAGACTCCGCCCCCGACACTGGCAGCCTGCCCTGCAGCAACCTCCATCCCCGGGTCCTCCTCCATAGAGGGAACCTGTCACCACGCCGGCTTTTGTTATCCTCCTGAAAATGTTCATTTTCTGGCTGCCAACCCAAGACAAGCATGCAACCAGTGAAGTCCAAATGAAAGCTGAACTGACAAAACTTATTTTTTTTAATTTTGCTTCGAGCGGAGCTGAGAATCGGTTAAGACCTCTGTGGGGTTTCTATTGGTGCCTGTGTGCCCCCCCCCCCCCCCGTGCAACGTGAGGGCAGGAAGTGATGGCAAATCTGTCCAATGGGGACACAGATGGCAAAACTTGAATTTTTTAAAATGTTGCTTTGAGTGGAGCTGAGAACGGGTTAGGACCCCTGTGGGGTATTTATTGGTGCCCCTGTACCCCCCCCCCCCCTGCAGTGCGAGGGCAGGAAGTGATGACAAATCTGTCCAATGGGGACACAGATGGCAAAACTTTTATTTTTTTAAATGTTGCTTTGAGTGGAGCTGAGAATGGGTTAGGACCCCTGTGGGGTATCTATTGGTGCCCGTGTAACCCCCCCCCCCCCTCGCAGTGCGAGGGCAGGAAGTGATGGCATATCTGTCCAATTGGGACACAGATGGCAACACGTAAGCAGTAGAGTGGGAGGCGGGTTCGAATTATAAAACAGGGTCTTTATTGGTGTCTGTGACTTCCTGTCCTGGTGACAACCTTTCTCACCATTTCCTGTATGGGTGTCACAGAGGCAGGAAGTGCAACAGAATCTCCCCCAATGGGATGACAGATGGAAATTTGAACTCTTTCCTGCTCTACTGAAAACTAACAACCTCGTTGGTGTTAGAATTTTGGTGTCACTGACAGAATGAGTATGACAGGGGGAGGGGAGGATTTGCGTCACATACCGGCCACACTGAGGGTCTTCAGTCTGAAGTCGGCTCCGTACAGGATGATGAAGCAGAGGGCCGAGTCCACCTTGCGGGCGTCCTCAGGGTAGCGCTCAAAGTCCCTCGAATTCTTCCCGGGTCGGATCTCTTTTATCTCCCGGATATCAACTGCAAAGACAGAAGAAGAGATACGATTATTAATATCAATCCAGAAAGATCCACCGAAAAGTCACAGGGAGATGGAGACTCACCCATACAGCACACCGCCCGCCTGAAGTCTTACTCCTTTTGCTGCAAAACAGGGCTTCACTATTCCTCTGATAAGAACTCAGCACAGGGATGGTGGGAACCCCTCATAATGGGCACAGCGGGCGTACAGACCCAGGAACTCAGTACAGGGATGGTGGGAACCCCTCATAATGGGCACAGCGGGTGAACATACCCCGGAACTCAGCACAGGGATGGCGGGAACCCCTCATAATGGGCACAGCAGGGGTATAGACCCAGGAACTCAGCACAGGGATGGCGGGAACCCCTCATAATGGGCACAGCGAGCGTACAGACCCAGGAACTCAGCACAGGGATGGTGGGAACCCCTCATAATGGGCACAGCGAGCGTACAGACCCAGGAACTCAGCACAGGGATGGCGGGAACCCCTCATAATGGGCACAGCAGGGGTACAGACCCGGAACTCAGCACAGGGATGGTGGGACCCCTCATAATGAGCACAGCGGTGTACAGACCCGGAACTCAGCACAGGGATGGTGGGAACCCCTCATAATGGACACAGCCGGTGTACAGACCCAGGAACTCAGCATAGGGATGGTGGGAACCCCTCATAATGGGCACATCCGTGTACAGACCCAGGAACTCAGCATAGGGATGGTGGGAACCCCTCATAATGGGCACAGCTGTCGTACAGACCCAGAAACTCAGCACAGGGATGGTGGGAACCCCTCATAATGGGCACAGCGGGTGTACAGACCCAGGAACTCAGCATAGGGATGGTGGGAACCCCTCATAATGGGCACAGCGGGTGTACGGACCCAGGAACTCAGTACATGGTTGGTGGGAACCCCTCATAATGGGCACAGCGGGCGTACAGACCCAGGAACTCAGTACAGGGATGGTGGGAACCCCTCATAATGGGCACAGCAGGTGTACAGACCCGGGAACTCAGCATAGGGATGGTGGGAACCCCTCATAATGGGTACAGCGGGTGTGCAGACCCGGGAAAAGCGAAATACACAAATGAAATACATTCTGTATATTAGAGTAAGAGTCATAATATGTTTATTTCTATCCATCCAGTCCTGAGAATTACACAGCTCTACCACACAGCACTGTCCTGTCTAGCAGGGGCGGAGACCTTGTCTTTCTCTTCTGCAGTTTCATTTTTACTTCCAGGTCCCCTACCCACCCCCACACACCCATGAGCTCATCCCTCTTTCACTCTGCTCTCTCCTTCTATCAGCATGTTCCTTCTTAGCACATGAGCACAAATAACTGGATCCTTGTGGTGCTTCCTCCTCTCCCTGGCTGAGCTCTGCTGTACAGAAACTGCTGATACCAGGTCCCACCCAGGCAGGGGCGGACTGACAACTCATGGGGCCCCCGGGCAATATGGGATCATGGGGCCCCTGTGTCCTTGCCCACACTCAAAAAAGCCTATAAAAAAGGTACCAGGGGCATCTCATGGGGCCCCCTACTGACCCCGGGCCCTCAGGCAGTGCCCGAGTGCTCAAATGGTCAGTCCGCCCCTGCACCCAGGTGAATGATAAAGCTGTGTGTCATGTTCATCCTCCAGCTTCACTGACCCGGAACACACCGTACAGATGAGGACTTCTAACTGGTCCCTGTCCGGTTCCCAGTCAGTAGGGGGGATGGTAGCCCCATATGGCGGGTGTACAGTATGTTCAGAGCTTGGATGTGGTCACTCCTGAGAACAATGGGGGGTCCTCTGCCTCCACACCCAATGGGGTCCTCCGCCTCCACACCCAATGGGGGTCCTCCGCCTCCACACCCAATGGGGGTCCTCCAGCTCCAAACCTAATGGGGGTCCTCCAGCTCCAAACCTAATGGGGTCCTCCGCCTCCACACCCAATGGGGGTCCTCCACCTCCACACCCAATGGGGTCCTCCACCTCCACACCCAATGGAGTCCTCCGCCTCCACACCCAATGGGGGTCCTCCACCTCCACACCCAATGGGGGGTCCTCCGCCTCCACACCTAATGGGGTCCTCCGCCTCTACACCCAACGGGGTCCTCCGCCTCTACACCCAACGGGGTCCTCCGCCTCAACACCCAATGGGGTCCTCCGCCTCCACACCCCACCCGCCTGCCAATCCCTGAAAGATGGTTCATACCGGAGACAAAGGAGCTTTATTATTCCCAATAATGATTGTTAGTGGAGCTCCTATGCCTTCCGAAACACTCCCCAAACTGGGCGACCCTTCCACCTCCTCGCCTGACCCCACCCCCACGCCTTCTGAAATATGCCCCGAACTGGGCGACCCTTCCACCTCCTCGCCTGGCCCCACCCCCACGCCTTCTGAAATATGCCCCAAACTGGGCGACCCTTCCACTTCCCCGCCTGACCCCACGCCTTCCGAAACACTCCCCAAACTGGGCAACCCTTCCACTTCCCCGCCTGACCCCAAGCCTTCCGAAATACGCCCCGAACTGGGCGACCCTTCCACTTCCCCGCCTGACCCCACGCCTTCCAAAATACGCCCCGAACTGGGCGACCCTTCCACTTCCCCGCCTGACCCCACCCCCACGCCTTCTGAAATATGCCCCGAACTGGGCGACCCTTCCACTTCCCCGCCTGACCCCACGCCTTCCGAAATACGCCCCGAACTGGGCGACCCTTCCACTTCCCCGCCTGACCCCACGCCTTCCGAAATACTCCCCGAACTGGGCGACCCTTCCACCTCCTCGCCTGACCCCACCCCCACGCCTTCCGAAATACACCCCGAACTGGGCGACCCTTCCACTTCCCCGCCTGACCCCACGCCTTCCGAAATACGCCCCGAACTGGGCGACCCTTCCACTTCCCCGCCTGACCCCACGCCTTCCGAAATACGCCCCGAACTGGGCGACCCTTCCACTTCCCCGCCTGACCCCACGCCTTCCGAAATACTCCCCGAACTGGGCGACCCTTCCACCTCCCCGCCTGACCCCACGCCTTCCGAAATACTCCCCGAACTGGGCGACCCTTCCACCTCCTCGCCTGACCCCACCCCCACGCCTTCCGAAATACGCCCCGAACTGGGCGACCCTTCCACTTCCCCGCCTGACCCCACGCCTTCCGAAATACGCCCCGAACTGGGCGACCCTTCCACTTCCCCGCCTGACCCCACGCCTTCCGAAATACTCCCCGAACTGGGCGACCCTTCCACCTCCCCGCCTGACCCCACCCCCACGCCTTCCGAAATACGCCCCGAACTGGGCGACCCTTCCACCTCCCCGCCTGACCCCCACCCCCCACACCTGACGAGGGGGGAACAGAGCCAGCAAAGACCCAAAATACTATCTATAATGGACTCTGCACAGTCCCACTTCTCCTGTCCCGGATGCCGGGTGTCATTCTCGGTATCTCCTCTTATTCTGTATGTATGGACTCCACACAGTCCCACTTCTCCTGTCCTGGATGCCGGGTGTCATTCTTGGTATCTCCCTATTCTGTATGTATGGACTCTGCACAGTCCCACTTCTCCTGTCCCGGATGCCGGGTGTCATTCTTGGTATCTCCTCTTATTCTGTATGTATGGACTCTGCACAGTCCCACTTCTCCTGTCCTGGATGCCGGGTATCATTCTCGGTATCTCCTCTTATTCTGTATGTATGGACTCTGCACAGTCCCACTTCTCCTGTCCCGGATGCCGGGTGTCATTCTCGGTATCTCCTCTTATTCTGTATGTATGGACTCTGCACAGTCCCACTTCTCCTGTCCTGGATCTCCTCTCATTCTGTATGTATGGACTCCGCACAGTCCCACTTCTCCTGTCCCGGATGCCGGGTGTCATTCTCGGTATCTCCCTATTCTGTATGTATGGACTCTGCACAGTCCCACTTCTCCTGTCCCGGATGCCGGGTGTCATTCTCGGTATCTCCTCTTATTCTGTATGTATGGACTCCGCACAGTCCCACTTCTCCTGTCCCGGATGCCGGGTGTCATTCTCGGTATCTCCTCTTATTCTGTATGTATGGACTCTGCACAGTCCCACTTCTCCTGTCCTGGATGCCGGGTGTCATTCTCGGTATCTCCCTATTCTGTATGTATGGACTCCGCACAGTCCCACTTCTCCTGTCCCGGATGCCGGGTGTCATTCTCGGTATCTGTGTGTATGGACTCTACATGGTCCCACTTCCCCTGTCCCTATTCTCATTATCTCTCTGGTGATTTTGCACAGCCGATAACTCAGCAATGACAGCTCAGTTGTAGAAAGGGAAAGCGATTGTTACATTGTTTCCTCTGGTTCCATGGAAGGGGGGGGGGGGTACACTGGGTGATATTATCATGTAAGCGGTTTGCTCTGGCTGGTCATTGTGCTCAGTAATCCAGAGGCCCAGAAAGACAGTCCATGGGGTCAGGGCGCTGGATGACAGTTCCCATGGTAACCAGGGGGGGGTTGGGGTGTGGGGGGGATGGCACTGGGGACTTTGGAGCCGTCTCTGGTCAGCACCGGATCATGTACCCGGCTCCAGGGAACTCCGCGTGAGCAGAAGGCCTATCCATAATATGACCCTCCACCTCTCTGTGCAGGAAAAAGAATTCGCTGAGAGTATAATACCGGGGTACAGAGGAAAGGATTTGGGGGTGCTTACTGCAGATGATGGGCAATGTGACCAGACAAGGGGGAAAGTGAATAGAATTCTGGGGTGATCACTGAACGGAGGAGGAGGAGGTCCCCTGATTCCTCTATATAGATCTTTATATCACTAGAGGGGTCACCGGCAGGAGGGAAGGAGGTCCTGATTCCTCTATATAGATCCTATCACTAGAGGGGTCGGTCACCGGCAGGAGGAGGAAGGAGGTCCTCGATTAGATCCTCTATACCGGCAGGAGGAAGGAGGTAGATCTCTATATAGATCCTATCACTAGAGGGGTCACCGGCAGGAGGAAGGAGGTCCTGATTCCTCTATATAGATTCCTCACCGGCATCCTGGTTCCTCTATATTGATCTTTATTTCACTAGAGGGGTCACCGGCAGGAGGAAGGAGGTCCCGATTCCTCTATATAGATCTTTTATCACTAGAGGGGTCACCGGCAGGAGGAAGGAGGAGGTCCCGATTCCTCTCTATATATAGATCCCGATTTCTATATATCACTAGAGGGGTCACTAGAGGGGTCACCGGCAGGAGGAAGGAGGTCCTGATTCCTCTTAATATATCTTCTATTCACTAGAGGGGGTCATATAGATCTTTATATCACCGGCAGAGGGGTCACTATATAGGCAGGAGGAAAGGAGGTCCCGATTCCTCTATATAGATCTTTATATCATCACTAGAGGGGTCACCGGCAGGAGGAAGGAGGGTCCTGATTCCTCTATATAGATCTATATATCACTAGAGGGGTCACCGGCAGGAGGAAGGAGGTCCCGATTCCTCTATATAGATCTTTATATCACTAGAGGGGTCACCGGCAGGAGGAAGGAGGTCCTGATTCCTCTATATAGATCTTCTATCACTAGAGGGGTCACCGGCAGGAGGAAGGATTCCTCTATATACATCCTGATTCCTCTATATAGATCCTATCACTAGAGGGGTCACCGGCAGGAGGAAGGAGGTCCTGATTCCTCTATATATATATCTTATATCACTAGAAGGGGTCACCGGCAGGAGGAAGGAGGTCCTGATTCCTCTATATAGATCTTTATATCACTAGAGGGGTCACCGGCAGGAGGAAGGAGGTCCTGATTCCTCTATATAGATCCTATCACTAGAGGGGTCACCGGCAGGAGGAAGGAGGTCCTGATTCCTCTATATAGATCTATATATCACTAGAGGGGTCACCGGCAGGAGGAAGGAGGTCCTGATTCCTCTATATAGATCTTTATATCACTAGAGGGGTCACCGGCAGGAGGAAGGAGGTCCCGATTCCTCTATATAGATCTTTCTATCACTAGAGGGGTCACCGGCAGGAGGAAGGAGGTCCCGATTCCTCTATATAGATCTTTCTATCACTAGAGGGGTCACCGGCAGGAGGAAGGAGGTCCTGATTCCTCTATATAGATCTTTATATCACTAGAGGGGTCACCGGCAGGGGGAAGGAGGTCCTGATTCCTCTATATAGATCTTTATATCACTAGAGGGGTCACCGGCAGGAGGAAGGAGGTCCTGATTCCTCTATATAGATCTTTATATCACTAGAGGGGTCACCGGCAGGAGGAAGGAGGTCCTGATTCCTCTATATAGATCCTATCACTAGAGGGGTCACCGGCAGGAGGAAGGAGGTCCTGATTCCTCTATATAGATCTTTATATCACTAGAGGGGTCACCGGCAGGAGGAAGGAGGTCCTGATTCCTCTATATAGATCTTTCTATCACTAGAGGGGTCACCGGCAGGAGGAAGGAGGTCCTGATTCCTCTATATAGATCCTATCACTAGAGGGGTCACCGGCAGGAGGAAGGAGGTCCCGATTCCTCTATATAGATCTTTCTATCACTAGAGGGGTCACCGGCAGGAGGAAGGAGGTCCTGATTCCTCTATATAGATCCTTTATCACTAGAGGGGTCACCGCCAGGAGGAAGGAGGTCCCAATTCCTCTATATAGATCTTTATATCACT